GGGCAATATGCTGACTCTGTAAACCGCTTAGAGAGGGCTGAAAGCCCTATGAAGCGATATATAAGTCTAACTGCTATTGCTATTGCTATTGCTATAGAAGTCCCAGTCTTCTGGTTTGTAGGCCAGTATCTTAACCACTACATCAAATGAGTTCTACATGTTTTAACCTATTTTCCTATTCATCCTTTCTTTCTCATTGTCTCCCAGGACTGGACTGTGACATAGATATTCCAAAGGCCATTCAAATGGTCCGGTCGCAGCGCTCAGGAATGGTGCAGACTGAAGCTCAATACAAGTTCATCTATATGGCCATTTGCCAATTTATAGAGATCACCAAAAAGAAGCGGGACATATTGCAGGTAGTGGATTGAAGGAGGCATGCAAATGCCATTCTCTTACTTTGGGTGGTGATTGTATTTTCCTCTAGAGAAGCAGATGGCACCAGTGGTGGGATTCAATTTTTTTTACTACCGGTTCTGTGGGCGTGGCTTGGTGGGCACGGCAGGGGAAGGGTACTGCAAAATCCCCATTCCCTCCCCACTCCACTAACCTGCTTTCCAGCTCCATTCTCTTCTGCAGGGCAACAAAAGAAGATTCAGCCTATCAGCTGGGAGGCAGTGAATAGATTGATTGGGTGCCCCAGCCTTACAGGCTAGGCCTCTCTGCAGCCCCCTGGGAACAAAAATGGGCTGTGGGGGGATGCACTGTACCCCATGCATTCCATTTTGGGATTAGCGGGCCTCCCTGCATTTACCTGGGGCCAAAATGGGGCATGTGGAAACTCCTGGAAGGGGCGGGGCAGGTGGGGCCATGGCCAGTCAGAGGTGATATTTGCCTGTTCTTCGAACTACTCAAAATTTCTGCTACCGGTTCACCAGAAACAATCAGACCTGGCTGAATACCACCTCTGGATGGCACCCACCAAGATAGTTAGTTCCCTAGCAAAGGGACAATAGCTATGGCACATTCATCTTCTAGCAGCCATCTTAGAGACACTTGTTAGAGAACCAACCTGGTTTATCCTCATTGGCTGAGCCCTTGTCATCTTCACTGGCTCTGCAGTAATTAGTGGATCAAGAGACTTGCCAGTCTGGGTTACAGCAGAGATTTCAAGTTCTTTCACAAACTGGAAAATGGAAGAAGAATGGATGGTGGGAGAGCGCGTGTTTGTTTTGGCTGTGCTTGACTTCTGCTTCCTTCTGTTCACATTGGCAGTTTCAGCTCCTTGCCTTCCATACAGTAAGAGAGTGTTCAGTGAACAATGAATATCCAATCCCCCTCCCACCGTCTCTAGCTTTACTTTTATCCCTTTTCTCCCTGCTGCAGTCTCCGAAAGGAAGACTAAATGAATCAGAATATGGGAATATCACCTACCCACTTGCCCAGAAGATCTCACACCCAAAGATTTCTAGAAAATCGTCCAGGTAAGACCTTTGTTCAAAGCAAGCAATACTATTTATGAAGATAATCCAATGTTCTGAAAGTGGTAGACATTAGATAATTGACATTATTCTTTCCTGCAGCAAACTCTGAACTATATGCAAGTTTCATGTCAATGTTGAATTTAAACTGGATAGAAGAAACTAAGAATAATGGATATTTTCCTGGTCTCTATCACTGACATACGTTACAACATCCTAAACTTGCTGTGTTCCACTCTTCAAAACATTCTCTCTTTTTTGGGGGTACTATGATTGAAAACAAATATCTATATGAATCAAAACTTGGGAAACAATGTCCTATGAGATAAGCAGAAAGATTTAGCCTGGGGGGGGGGGAATGAAAGGGAGTCATGATGGCAGTCTTCAAATACTTGTCACACACAATAGACATTATGTGTCTCTTGTTGCTCTAAAATTTAGAATTAGCCAATTGATGAAAGTTGCAGGAAAATCACTTTCAGCTAAATGTTAACAGAACTTCTAAGACTATGAAGTATTGAACAGGTCATCTTTGAAGCGTCTTCTTTGCTGATGCTATTTTAACAGCAACTTGGCAATCTGATGAATTGAAAGAATTCTGAAATTTGATCCTGTGTATATGTGAAAGCGAATGATTGATGTTCAAAATCCATTTCAATAATATGATTTTGTGCCATATACGTGCTGCATTGAAAGGTTATTTTTAAAAATGCTACGGAACCTGCTCTATGTATGAGGAAGCCAACACATTTTAAAATAGCAGAAAGCACCTCATTTTGACTAATTGGTATGGCTATCTACTGAACGGGCACAAAACTGGATTTAAATAAGCTGTCATGTGTTCTCAGAATTTGAATAGCTCAAATATAATTTGAGACCACATTCTCTGGATCTATAGAGTCTCATTTATTCCTTTCCAGCCCATCTCAACCCACTCTCCTTAGTGAATAACTTCCTTATTTTTTCATGTAATTCAAATCATATTCGGTCTATTTATGCAAACTGAGTAAATGTGAGTTGCCAAACAACAGCAACAATAACACTCCCTCCAAACCAAACTGGATTGAAAGCTAATATTTAATTGTTGCATTCTTATGGGTCATCTGATAAACAAAAAGCAACGATGTTTTCCCTTAAAGAAAGAAAGAGTGGAATATGAAAAGTTGCATGAGGCTCATGCACATAACAAGCCCATCAATGATTCAACATTTTCTATGAACCTTGTTTGTCTTCTTTTGCTCTTTTTCTCCTTTTACAGGCAAAAGGAGGAACCAACCCTCTATGAGAATTTAGACAACATGAAAGGGAAAAAGGAAGAGAAGGGTCATAAACCATGGCCTTCTGGGAAAGAAAAGAAACCTAAAGGCTCTTTGAAGAAAAAATAACCATCATTGGCTCCATTCGCAGTGATCATTTGTCCTTGCTAATAACAATTTTGTCTAGAGGTTTACAGAATTGTAGATGGCTGTCCAAACACATTTTGGTCATTGCATGGAATTTCATTTCTCCTTTCATCACTTTATTCTCTCTTGTCCTTTGGTCCCTTACATATATTATTTTAAATTATCGTAAGCCTCTTAGATGTTTATTTCATTTGCATGTAGAATCTTGCACCCACTGTGATTGTGCAGGCTGTGGTTCTCAGCCACCAATTTATTGCCTTGATTCCTTACCTCCTAAACTTCCCCATCTTTCAGCACAACTACGAGCTAGATTTCTACTGTTTTTGAGTCTGTGCAAAGTATCTCATTCCACCTGCTTGTGTTCCCTAGACCTTTCCTAAGAGGGCCTAGCCCTTCCCTTTTTTTAGAATGTACCCCTTACTAGGTGGTACAAAGTTTAGTATGGATCTGGATCTGGCAAACCATGTACTTTCGCTTTGGTTTGGGCCATTCCACTTATTGGACCCAGAAGCTGAATACAGTGCTTTTCAATAAGCATTGCTTCTATAGCTTAAGCTTTCTAATCCAGTTTCTTCCTAGTGTTTGTTTGAAACTTCATCAGATCAAAGCTGACCATGTTCCATTTACAACTGGGAACCACAAGCTATCTGTTTATTCACCAACCATTTGGCAATTGCACTCTGTAAATAATAGATTGGGTTGCTTTACTCTGTAAATAAACCAGATATTTGTTTGGTATGTGCCTCCTCTCACTTGCTCAATATATCTAATATATTAATATATTTTAATATAGCATAGATTTTAATGCAGTCAGGGCCAGGAGGCCCTTTGCTCAACTGTATAATTATGCTAATTACGCCCTTTCCTGGATCAAAAATTCCCTACTCATGGCCATTCATTTCCTAGTCACCTCCTGTCTTGACTATTGCAACTCGTTCTGCTACATGGGGCTATCCTTGGAAAGCATCTGGAGGCTCCAGTTGGTTCAGTATGCAGCAGCCTACATGGTTTTGTGCAGACCTCAATGTGCACATGTATTCCCTCTCCTGCGGGAGCTGCATTGCTTGCCAGTTTGCTTCTGGATGCAATTCAAGATGCTGCTTCTCACCTTTAAAGTCCTTCCTGGCTTGGGACCAGGTTATCAGAGGGACTGTCTCTTGCCAGTCATATCCACCCAGCCCACTAGAGCAGGGAGGCAAGGAATGTTGCGGGTTGTGTCCCCTAAGGAGGTAGAATCCAAAAGAAGGACATACTCCATGGTGGATCCCTCTTTTTAAATATCGTCCCTTCAGAAATTAACCTCCCCCCCCCCCATTTTGACACTCTTTTGTAAGGCTCTTGATAAAAGAAATGTCCTTCTGGGTTCGGCTCCAAGTAGGGAAAAAGACACTGGAGACATGGAGGCTGCTTGGAAAGATGGTTTATTGTTGGACAGGGCC